GGGGGGGGGGGGGGGGGGGGGGGGGGAACTAGAGAGAGAGAGAGAGCGTCTGTGAATATTTTGCAGGATGAAAAGAGTCTGTTGGAGACACTGAGGCAATAGAGTAACCATTGGCTTGTTTGCAAACCCATGAGATGACACTTTTAATTCGATTCCTAATAATATCAACAAATCAATGAACCATTAGCCTGAAGAGTGTTTACAAATATACTCTAGGGCTCACTCAACACCTCTCGCATTTTCTTTCGAATTATTTTGAATTATTGAATGAACGAAAAATCCCATTTCCCCATTTTATTAATCCCCCTGTCAATAATAATCCCCGGCTATTTTTCCCCCTGACACAACAGTAATGAATCTCATGAAAATATTAATTATATGGGTCAAAAAGGAACGAATTACTCGGTGAAACGGGTGAGCCGGATGAATATGGAAATGATAACACGATTTGACAGGGCTGATTGCCTATTCGACAGCAAAATCGGATCGTCCCGTTAATGATATTCGTGTAACCGCTTGTATCCCATCCGTTGTATCACCATTCGTGCGTGCCTCTGATGCCCTCTCACGCTTGACCCTCCCCCTTCCTTCCCCCCTTCTCATAACACGCATGTATACGTACACTATGTCTCTATTAATGAAGATCAAACTCTGATGAACACTGAGGGATTTCATCCAGCATCGCCAACGAGCGATGGAATCTCTCGTCAATCTCGCGTCCACCAGTCCATTATTTTAATTATTACGACGATAAAAGAGCACGTTATCATTTTCTCGTGAATTAATCTAATCGACTAATTGAAAACAGGAGAGAAAATCCGTTTCTCTTTTCATTTTTGGTATTTTTATAATAATTTTAATCGATAAAATTTCAATTTTCCATTATTGCGCTGAGGATAATCTATCCATTCAACGTCAATGCTTGTAGAGTCATCAACAATCAAGCATTAACCCCACCCCCCTCCCCGTAATAGTCGATTACCCGGAATCCCTCAGAAATTGACCATTATTCGAAATTCTCTAATTTATCAATAGCTGATAACAGAAGAGAAAAGAGGAATAGCTGTGGCTGTGGGTGAGAGAGGAGGAGGGCATCATCGATATCCCATCTATTCGTGTACAGAGAGATAAATTTACGTTAACCATACGACGCAAAGGACAACAGAGAATAATGGAATTTCAAGTAAAAGCGAGTACTGATTCGTAATTGATTTCGACAGCTCGTTGTGCCTCATTATGTCCTCGATCCACGCGTTCATTGAATTTATTGATTAAATTTATTGAATCGCGCTGTCATTGTGGAGATTTAAAAATGCTCATCGCTCACCGACAATTTATAATAATTATAAATAATCAATCTGCTATTCGTCATGAATTCCAGAGGCGTACGAGGAATTTTGAATTATCATCAATTGCATTCTGCAAAATTCCGCGGTTTATTGGCAATTTATAATGATTGAGAATAATTCAGCTTTTATTATCAATTTCACGCGCTTAAATTTTACGACTTTTCAAATTTTACTCACGTCGAATAGTCTGTGTTTATAGGACGCAATATTTTGATGAGAAACCGAGCATTTAGATCTGAATAAAGCTTGAAACCATTAAATTTGCTAAATCGAGCTCTCGTTACGGAAATGTTGAAATTTTATCAGTTATTGACAATTTACAATAGTCAAAAATAATCTCTCGTTTATTCATTATCAATTTCACGCATTTAAATTTAATGAATTTCCAAATTTTATTCACATCAAATCGTCTCACTAACTTATACGACGTAATATTTTGATAAGAAATCGAGAATATGGTTCAAAACTCACCAAGAAATCCTGTGTTTATTTAAATCCCGTAAACACTGTCCTCCAGTCTTCACTCGCATTGAAATCAATAAGCAGATTATTCACAACAGGAGATTACGTCGGTGGTAAATTGACACTCGCTCGGTGGAGGATGTGAAATAGAGGGAATCAATGCCTCCGACAGCCCGTGGCAGCTCTCCAGACGGGCGGACTTCCGCTCCAGTTGTCAGTCGTTCATTTATTATACTCTTTATGCGTACTTTTTAATTTTCCCATTTTCACATTTTGCTCAGGGGCTTTTATGCATGCCCTGAGTGGTTAGAGTGTGAGGCTGGCATGCGGGGCCACAAAATTTGTGACACACTTCATCTTGCAATTTCATTGTTATGCCAACCGGAAGTCTCGCAAGAGACGACTGCACTTGGGCAGGTTCTCCCTCAATTGAGGTTTTCCCTTCTTCGGCCAATGCGGTGCAGGGGATTGGGGAATGAGAATGGAACAATCGTAAAACCCAAAAGGCTCTGCAAGAAAGAGAAAAACAATTATAAAGATTGACTGGACTCATTCAGTTATCATTTTTACTGACAATGGCTTTCGAGACGATAAAATATCGGTCCCTTACGCCGAGATGCTTCCCAGATACTTACAATAGTCAGAAAATGCCACGGGAGGTGTCCCGAGTCTCTAGCGTCACTCGCAGGCGACATCTGGCGGGAATTTCTTCCAACTGTCATGGCCGCCGCAATCTGTCGACAAAACTTATCATCAGCCGGCGTTGAAAATACACGGAAATAATTTCCTCATATTTTCACAAATAAAAATACAGAAGTCGTCTTTTTTTTACCCGCTTTTTATGTCAACATTTTGCCCACTACTCCCGCTCACGTTCATGAGCTGTTCAAAAGCACCTCGTGTACATAATAAATTCACTGCAATTTATTTATCGAATGAATTTCTCAGCCATGAATTCTGTCAATTTTATTTGTCATTTGAATGACTCTTGTGTGGTTAAACAAGTGATTGGATACGTGTTGTGTTACTCCTTCGGCTCTCGTTCAAGTCAGCATGTTTCATGATGGCGTCCAAAAGCCCGCTGGACGTATTTTCTGTATTCAAAATACTAAATCTTGATTGATGAGAGTGAGGACAAATGAAGATGAAACGTTCAAGAAGTGAGATGATCAATGCAACCGTCGAGTCATACTTGAAACGTCGCCGTTATCAGGTGAATTGCTGCATCCAAACAAAATCCTTCATTATTTCGTGCCTATTCACATCAGAGCCTGCCTGGCGCACCGTGGGAGAATTAACCTAAAATTGTGTTTACAAATTTACATTTCACATCAGGGGTGAATTATTTTAACGATTGATTTTTTCGTGATGTTTCTCTGCAGGATAGTGATTTATTTCGTAAAACGGAGAGGACTGGATGCAGGAGCAGCGAAGAAGTGACCTTGACTGCTAAAGCAGAGAGTGCTCTGTCTCGAGACAACTCCATAGTGTTCAGTGCTATCATCAACGACGTTGTAGCTGCTGATCAAGCTTACCAGAGGTATTGCCCTCAGTACCTTGTTTAAAATTTATTTATTATTCCTCTCTGTTCTCCCCTCGTTTTTCCCTCTCGAAGTTGTCAGGTAGTTTGACAGGAATTTATTCAACCACTACAGATTAAAAGCCTGGGTCTACTCCATAAAGACTCAACAAATAAAGTACGAGCTACATGGCCTCCTCTACCCCGTCTTCTGTCACTTGTACCTCGAAATACTTCACGCTGGTAATCCACAGGCTGCCATTCAATTTCTGAAGAATTATCAGGGTGACTTTGTCACGGATACTGAGAGGGATTTTCTCGAAGAATTGTCAAGTATATTTACGATACAGGATATCGAATTGAGGCCACTTGTCAATGCATTTAGAATGAGAAAGTACAAAGTTGATATGTCTGATGAGGCGCACATTTGTCTGCAGAAGTATCTCAGTAAAAACGGGCATATTATTATAATGCAGGTAATAATTGATTTTAAGTGAGTGGGCAATTTTAAGGATGAGAAATTCATCATCATAAAAATCTTCCCAAATTTCTAGAATATTCTTCAAAACTTGGAACACTGAGTCGTTCAACTTTTCATATTTTATCAATGCAGAGCTCCATGAATATAATACAAAATCACAAATTAATAATTTAATCAATCAATTAAATTGAATTAAATTAATAATAAAAAGAATCTATTGAGCAAACAACATTTCACATTATTTCAGATTATAAATATACACATAACTATTATTAAAAAAATAGTCGATATGAATATGATTGACGAAGAGACTGGTGATCAAGCTCAGGGACACGAAATTGGCATAAATGGGCACGTGGAGCTGGCATCGGGCACTGGAGTTGATAGAGAGATGCGTGAGCTCCAGGAATCCATTCGATTGATAAGAAATAACGCTTATCAACCTTTGAGAATATTCACGGTTAATAATGCAGCTGAGAATGGCAGTTGTGCTACAATGACGCCGAATATGGATAAATTGGCGGCTGGATTCAGCACAGCTGAGATTAGACTTTGGGGTGTGGGGGAGACGGTGCTCATGAGACCGAGGCAGGTGAGATCATCCATTACGCTGGCCTGTGACACTGCATCCACTAGTAGACCACCTGACGATGGGAACGAGATGGAGGAGGCAGGTGCTATCGTTCTCAGGGGGCACACGGACGTCATCCATGACTTAAAATTCGTCGCTCAATCTAGTGTACTGCTGTCCGCCTCCAGTGACAAGGACATGAGGGCTTGGAGCCTCAGTGATTACTCGTGTGCTGCTGTTTATAGGTAATTTTATGGATTTTTTTAGGTGAAAAACACTTCACAGTTAATATCTTGAATTCATCGAGACATTTAAAAAATTGAAAATGAATAACCATTTGGTATTTCTCATCTAGCCCATTCTTTTCTGAGATAAAATTTATACAAAAATATAGTCTTCATTTTAGTTCAATCACTCTATTCGCTCTGCTCAATCATTTCAGTGGACATAATTATCCAATCTGGTGTATGGATACGAGTGCTTTTGACTTGTACATAGCAACTGGCTCTCATGATCGAACCGCCAAATTATGGAGTCTGGACAGAAAATTTCCACTCAGGGTTTTTGCCGGCCACTTTCTGGATGTCAATGTAAATTTTATGCAATTCACAGTTTTTATTTTGCAAGGCATCTTGAGCAATTCATTTGCATTCATTGTATTTTCAGTGCATAAAATTTCATCCAAATACGAGATACCTGGCAACAGGTTCTGCTGATAAATCCGTCAGACTCTGGAACAAGGACGATGGTAATTTATTGAGAGTATTTGTTGGCGCCCAATCGACGATTTACAGTCTGGCATTCAGTCCCGATGGGAAATATCTGGCTGCAGCTGGTAATTAATTAATATGATATACGTGATAATTTTATAATAATTAACAGCCCACCGAAACCTACAATCCGACATTTTTCAGAATAATTTCTATCCACTATCGTCTTTATAGTTGCAAACAATTTTTAGGCGATGATAGGTCAATAGCAATATGGGACCTGGCGACAAATGCGATATTGACTGAGCTTAAAGGCCACCAGGAGACAGTGATGAATTTAGACTGGAGTCCAGATGGTCAGTACATAGTCAGTGGTAGTACAGACGGTATCGTGCGTCTCTGGCCATCGCACGAGCACATAAAAACCGGCATCAATACCCCAACAAACTCAACAGGCAGAGATTGCCGCCCTCAGGTATACTCAACAAATTGCTCAAGTATTCTATCGCTTCAATACTACCGAAAAAATAGTTCACTTGTCTGCATTGGAGCTGTATGAAGACTGCTGGATCTCGCTGCCAAAATAGGCCGAACATAAATGGAAATAAATGAAAAATAATAATGTCAATACATAATAATCATCATCATCATTTTCAGTCTAGTGGTAGAGATCCCCCTCACAGGCAAGATAGTGAATTAATTTGTTGTACTTGCGATTAAAAAAATTGAAAAAAAATTTACTGCAATACTGTGATGGAGTGACGATCAAATGATCCTTTCATCTACCTTCAAATTTTATTCATTCAAATTTTACTGCTACATTCTCAAGGGAGAGGGGAAGGGACGAGTGGTAGAGAGCAAAGTAGTGAATTTATGCGGCTATCTTCAATGTTTTCTTGTTATTCAAATCAAAAGAAGGAATTTTATAATTGCATTTGACCCTGGAATCAGTGTTTTAAAAATGGAATTTCGAAAGACCTCTTTTGTAGCACAATATGTCTCAAAATTTTTTCCTGGTAGTACTCGTTATCAAAATAAGCGGAAATTCAGCAAGATTCCTGGTGGATAATAAACAGTCATTGTTCATTTTCTTCACACATTTTTTGTGTTTTGTTCTCATTAATTTTGTAAATAATTCACTTGGTGATTGTACAGGTGAGAATTCATTGGTAATTTCTCGCTGTTTTGTAAATATTAAAAAATAATAAAAATGACGGCTAGAGCCAACGAGGTCGATAAAATTTGTATTCACAAATTTTTGTTTCTACTAAATTATTTCCCCGTGTGTTTGCGGAAAGACAGAATAAAAAAGTAAAATAATGAAAAAAAAATTGTAATTCAACGCCTCTTTGGTGGTAAACATTAAAAACTACCTCATAATCTAAGGACCATCGATTTTTGCTTTTATATTATTGTTCTGGCATAATTAGAGTGAAAAAAAAATTGAGAATAAGAAAATAAGATTCGCATCAAAGAAGTGTACTTTTTATTTTAGTCTCCGAATGATAAATTGTAATATGGGCTGCCCCGAACAGTAATTACACAAATTCTTCTTAAAAACAGGAACTTTTTGTAGATACATCAATCCTGTATATGTACAATTACACATTGAATACAATTTTTTTTTCTTTTTTTCTCTAATCATTTTCCCTTCTTTATTTTTTCCTCTGCAATCATTAAATCCCATTCACCGTCAATGTTTTTTTTTCAATTATACATTTAATTTTTTTCAACTTTTACATTATTTACACCAGTTTGACTCTACAAAAATAATTCTACAATCGAGTATTTCTTACAATAAGGAAACTATTTAAAATTATAGAGGATCAATCGATTGATTAATCATTGAAAAAATAAATATCGATAATAGTGATGTATTTTTACTGAGTTCAGCGAAGCTGAAAATAATTGATCCAACAATGAAATAACTTGGTAGCACAATTTTACTAATTTTTTCGAAATTTCACATTCCATTCTCCCCATGCTCCGATCAAAAAACTACAACTTACGTCTAGTTAGACGTGAAAGAATTCACACATGCAAGCCATAAAAAAATACATGAGTCATTGGACACATGGACCTGAAACAATTACATGATTATCACTAATTTGACGACGTGCATTTCGAAACACGTACCTGACAAGAATTGACGAATCACAAGATAGAATTATAAATAGGCGAATTAAAAAATAATTTGTTTGAAAATTTCTAAAACAGAGAAGACTCATCATGCAGATGAGTTATTTATCGCTTGTATCGTCCTTTGATTAGCTGCAGGGCTTTTGCCATGAGCGGTGCTTTATTTTTCTTAACAATTCCAGAAGCTGAAACACATTAATGATTAATCAGAAGAATGTTTGAAGAATGTCAGAGAAGAGAATACCAAAAAAGCAAAAACATGAGAATGAAAGAATGAGTCACTCACAAGATGTTCTAACTCTGGACACAGGTGGTGGTGGAACAGCAATATTAGTAGCAGCATGTCCCCCAGTAATAATCTTCTTCCTTAGATCTGAGGTAGATGTTGAAGAACGAGCAGTGCCATACTTGGCCTGCTTCCTGAGAACATTTCTAGGAGGTTTAACAAAATTATCGACGAAAGCCAACTTAGCAGACCTTACAGGCACTGATTTATCAATAGACTGTTTGATATTAGCAGTCAGAGTTTTTAATTTGGCCTCCCTCTCATCAAGACATCTCATGTACATTTCCCTCGAGCTCTCCATCTCCTCCCTCTGCTTGTTCCGGAACTCTCTGTTACAATGAAACTGCCAGAGTGAATCGGTGTCCTCAATGAGGTAAGGATTATGATGCTCAAGCATGAAGAGTTGGTCGGGTGTGGCCCTCTCCAAGACGGGCTTTAGAATATCATAGGGCACACCTCCAGTGGCCTCCAGGGCATCAATATTCTCAATCAAAATCCTGATGCAGAGATCGTAGAGGCTGGGGACGCTCGTGTATCCTGATTTATTCCCTGAGTAAACCTTTGTCCTCATGTTCTTAGCGTAAATCGCATCATTGAGTACCTTATCCTCCTCCATCTTTCGATGCACCGTATTGTTGAGGTAATTATTGACTGGCAGTGGCTTGTAATTGGCGCTAATCTCTGGTAATGTCGAGGCGAGATCAACACTCAGTGGCTCTAATTTGACGTTTGGCCCTAGCAGTGATAATCCATCCTCCTTGGCTACGTTTTCAGTCTTTATTAATTTTTGTTTCGAGGTCGAAGCATTGGATTCCGCTTTGGATTTCATCACTGGTGAGCTGGGAGAGACTGGAGCTGATTTCTTCCTCACGTGAGGGGCTGAACACATGCCCAGGGCCTCAGCAAATGTCGCCCCTGAATTGCAGTCTATGCCCTCGTCCTCGTTCAAGTGTTTCTTTATTTTTTTCTTGCTTGGAGATTTACTCTTCTGGTCCTTGGATTTTGATGATGAAGCTACTGAGGATTTTTGCTCTTTTTCATCTTTTGAGGATTTGTGGCGAGAAGAGGAGGACGACGAGGCCAAGTGGTCGCGAGTTGATTTGCTTTTTTCATCGAATTTGTCTGAACGATGTTTGTGATGATTTGATCGCGACTTTTCCACGTGCTTCTCTCGTTTTGAGTCCTTTCTGTTTGCTTCGGATTTCGGGGTTGGACTCTCACATTTCATGCTGGAAGAGACAGAAGAGGGAGTCGAGGAGAGTTGAGGGAGGATCTGCTCTTCAGCATCTGAATTTTCATCTGTGGAATTGTTGGCTCGTTTATCCGGAATTGCTGGGGGGGTTGGAGACTCGTGCTTTCGCTTTCGACTTTGATCACTGCCATTCACCTGCTTGTTCTCTTTCGACAGATGGAGGACCGATTCCTTGGGCTCTTTCTTTGGGATATCTGATCTGTGGATTTTCTGGGACTCTTCAGTATCCTCTTTTTTTGAGCTGTGTCTCTCTTTCTCCTTTGCCGGCTTTGATTTCTCCCTGTCATTTTTCTCTCTCTTCTCCCTCGATGAGTCTTGCGATGATTTAGAGGACTTTTTTTCGCTTTTGGAGCGTGAATTCTCTCGAAGTCTGGAGTCAGAGGAGCGGTGGTGGTGATTGTGCTTGGAATCGTGCTTTCTGTGGGAATTTCTTTCTGATGTTTTGTCTGGCTTATCGGGGGTGGGGGGTTTGTCCATCCCCAGGTCTGAATTATCACTGTAGGGTTCGGGCACGTCCGGGTGATTCTGGTCGTCATCATCCTCGGCATCACTGCTCTCCTCGTCTACTACCATTGTTTTCCATTTTGCCACTAGTGCCTTCGATGCATCACCAACTGTGCCCTCGTATTTCCGAAGGGCATTCACTGTTCTGCCTACTCCGGTGTCCTGAAGGTGCTGCACTGTCACTGGGAGTTTGTAGAGCTTTTCAATGCAGTGGAGAAGCTGCAAATAAAGTGGGAAAAATAATTGAAAAATTGTGGATTTTTCAATTCGAGAATTTTCATGGTTTTATTTTCAGCTTTTTTCTTCTTTTTCTTCTTGTGGGACATTTAATGATTATGTTCAGAATGAAAGCGCTCTTCTGAGGCTTTTCATTTCTAAAACATCGGCGATTTTTCTTCAAAGTCCTTTCTTTTCAACTTTTATTATAAATTCACGTTCCATTCCTAGTTCAATTGTTTCGTCTACATTACAAAATGGAGAAAAGGAAAATTGATTTTAGCAGATGGTAGTTGAAGAAAATGTATAACAAACATTAATCGTTCAATGAACATGGAATAATGTCATGTTTGGCTTGCATTTTAAAAAATTCTAATTCATTCAATTAAATATCAATTGAAAATAATACTTTGATGACATAATTTTCATGTGGAAGAGGAATATATGTGCACCGAAAGCACTACCATTGATTTTCTAGGTTAGACAAGACATTTTTTTCATTATTGAGAGGAACCAGATTACTAAAAATCATTGACACATTGTAGAATTTGAAAACAAAAATATATAGCACTGACTTATTACTTACTCTCGACTCATTGTTCGAGCATTTTTCAATACTTTGCTGATAATGTTTTATTTGGCTGACAACAGACATATTGCCAGATGCCAGCTGGTAGAGAGCACTACTACTGAAGTCGACAAGCCCAGTGTCGTACCACAAGTTGACAATTTTTTATTTCCACTTATTTTCATCAACAATTGAGTTGATCGGAAAAATATCTAGACAACGAACTCACTGAATTATTCATACAATTAATACAGTTTCCATCGTCTTACGAGTGAAAACCAGCAACAAATTGATTCATTTCCGTTGAAGTTTTTCATTCAATTGTTACAATTGACATTTACAAGTTTCTAGTCTAGCTAGAAAATAAGGAAAAACAGTTTAATGCAATTCTTGCACTTTCAGGGGAATTATACAACTCGTATTGATCTGATAATTTACAACTTGTGTTCGTTTTTTTTGTCGTGTAACTCTTTCTATAAATCCGTCGCGCCCAGTGTGTTTGGCGTTTTGTCGTGACTCATCATGCGTGTGTGTACAGTAAAAACTTCAAGACAATAATATTCCCACTTGGAATATTCTCCAAGACGCAGTACCGGAATTCTCCAGGAAGGAATATTCTCACGTGGGCGAGGGTGTGAGGGGATTGGTGGGGGAATTTTCCTGCTGGAATTTAATTTTTAGAAGGTTCACTGCATTCGACCTTAATAACCCCAAAAGTGATAACGTGACGTAAACATTGTGTCATCAATTAACCAATTTGATGAATTATTGAATTAATTGAATGATTAAATTATTACTATTATTGGAATTACTTGAATTATTGAATTATTAAAACGTAATATATAATATCGATGATGGTGATTTGAAGCTGCAAGTGTAATACACAATAATTAACTTGGAGTGGCTCTTGCAACCCCTGTTGTTGAATGAACAATAGCAATGGCAAATCCAGTGAGAAACGTCCCGATATCCCAAATTCTGAAGAACAAGAGCACCTTCGAAGATGAGCCGAGGAAAAAGTCAAGGGAGGATTGGAGAAAGGCAAAAGAATTGGAGGAAGCGAGAAAAGCTGGAACAGCCCCAGCAGCTGTTGATGAAGAAGGTATATTTCGACATCTAATAAAACAAGGGTATTTCAGTTTCATTTTTGAAATGAGGGTATCTCAAAATTCATGTGAAAGCTTATTGTTCACGTTATTCGTACTTCCTCATGTATTCATACCATTTATACAGCCGTCAAGAGAAGAAAACCGTGAGATTTCACACGACTGTTCATATGAATTCCGGGATACCCTAGTCTTGAGATGAATTTTGAGATGCCCTTGTTTTAAAAATAAAATTGCAATACCTTTGTTTAAATTTGCAAACGTCAATTTACAAATGAATTCAAATATTGAGCCATCCTTGCAGACGAATTAATGAACGTAAAAAAATAGCCCAAGAAAACAAACGTTTTAGAATAGTTATCGTTTTTATTGGGAACATCAACTCGTTTATTTCAGGCAAGGACATCAACCCCCACATTCCCCAGTACATAAGTGCAACTCCCTGGTACTTCGGGGCATCTGGGCCCACCCTGAAGCATCAGAGGCCCCAGCCAGAGAAGCAGAAAGAGTACAGCAGCCTTGGAGAATGGTACAAGCGAGGAGTTGATCCGTCAAATGTAGCCACCAAATTTCGGAAGGGAGCCTGCCAGAATTGCGGAGCAATGGGCCACCAGAAGAAGGACTGTTTCGAGAGGCCCAGAAGGGTGGGTGCCAATTTCAAAAGCAGCAACATCGCCCCAGACGACTTTCTGCAACCAGAATTGTCTCTGTCGTATGACGCCAAACGCGACAGATGGGCTGGTTACGATCCAACAGATCACAGGGCCTTTGTCGAGGAGTATCAAAAGATTGAGGCTTGCAAGAGGCAAATGAGGGCTGAAAAATTGAATGCTGAGGAGAGTGATGAGCAAGACTCTGACAAGGACGAAGATAAATATGTGGATGAGGTCGACATGCCTGGAACCAAAGTCGACTCGAAACAGAGAATTACTGTGAGAAATCTGAGAATCAGAGAGGATACCGCCAAGTACTTGAGAAATTTAGACAGCAATTCTGCTTATTATGATCCCAAAACGAGATCAATGAGGGATAATCCTTATGATGGAACTGAAAAAGAGTGAGCATTCTTCATTTCATTATTCATATTATTATTAATATTATTTCGTCTAGTTTCAATCATCATATTCATCAAATGGGGGTGATAATTTGCATTATTCTTCTTTTTGTGCTTCTAGAGTCGACTACAAAGGTGAAAATTTCGTTCGATTCTCTGGCGACACCCAGAAACACGCAACAGCCCAATTATTCGCTTGGGAGGCTCACGAAAAAGGCGTGGATGTCCATTTATTGGCCGAACCGACTAAATTGGAGATGCTGAAGCAGGAGTACGATAAAAAACGAGATGAGCTCAAGGACGAGGCGAGGGGAAGTGTTGTGGACAAGTATGGGGGCCGTGAGCACCTTCAAACTCCCGACCCATCGCTTTTACTGGCGCAAACCGAAAATTACGTTGAATATTCAAGATCAGGAAAGGTATAAATTGATGACATTCAGTTGATATTCCTAGAAATTGCTGAATTATATATTATCTCCCAATTTTACATTTGACATCTATATTTTTTTTTATTCTTAGGTAATTAAAGGACAAGAGAAGCAAGCAATCCGTTCTCAATATGAAGAGGACGTATATCCCAACAATCACAAGTCAGTTTTTGGGTCTTACTGGCGCGGAGGTCACTGGGGGTACAAGTGCTGTCACTCATTCATAAAAAATTCTTACTGCACTGGTGAATCTGGAAAGCAGGCCCTTGAATCGTCCCAAGCACTTCAGGAATTTTCGTCAACAAGTGAAAAGTTGGCTATGAATGACTCTGAAGATGATAAACAATTAACGAGTGGGTCCTCGAGTGATTCCTCGTCGGAGGAGGACACTCGGAGTAAGACAGAACGTAAATCAAAGTCGAAAAAGAACAAAAAGAAGAGGAAGAAGCAAAAGGAGAAGTTGAGGAAGAAGAAAAATCAGAAGGAGGGGAATTCTTTGAAGGAGGCTTTGGAGAAGGAAGAGGAGAGCCAGAGGGAGGCGGAGATGCTGCTGAAAATGGATGAACGGAAGAGGCCTTACAACAGCATGTTCACAGCCAAGGAACCCACTGCTGACGAAGTGGAGGCCTTCCAGATGAAGAGACCTAGGGAGGACGACCCAATGGCTAACTTTATCTAAATAAATTATGTATTTTTTTTTGGTAATTGGAAATGAAGATTGGGAGTAATACGAGTAATTATAATTTATTCATAATACCTGATAAACACGTTTTTCAGATTGATTATTGTTGGCATTTATTTTGGAAAGAGACGGATAAATTCTGCAAATATTCCGTAGAATATTAAATATTTCATGAGGAATTTTAAACGAAAATAAATATAGTTAATTAACAGTAATTAATTTAGAAGTGCAAAAATAACACAGAGTGGTATGAGGAAATGAACTTTTCCATGTTAGAAAAAAAATTAAAATCTCGAAAAACCAGAACAAAATAAATAAAAATTCTACACCCAACACGAGAATTATCATCAGTTTCAAACTTTTGTAATAAATAATTGTTTCTGCGTGCCTGAAATGGCGTGTTATGCCGAAACATCCTAGTCAAACCTGAGGCTATTGTTTAAAAAAATAATTGAAGCAATCAATTCTAAATTCGTGGGAAATATGAACGATGAATAATGTTTTTCTTTTTGAATTAATTTTCCTCGTACACTCAACGACTCAACTGGAGTTCATTCGTACTACTTCAACTGGCTGCGCCACTGGTGGTGGCATACACCAAACTCCTTCGCCAAAATATCATTCGCTGATATGGGTTCTAGCTCGTAAGTGCCGAGCCTCAGTAATCTCCCTACTCCATGATTTCCTGAAAGCGCTCACCGACATTCCCCTCCAAACCATGGCATTATTTCACATTAACTCGAAGGTGGTGCGTCTCAGTACTTCACAGTTACGTTGTTACTCCAGCTGTCTGAAAATGAAGGTAATCAATCTAATTACCCCGTTCCCCCGTTATCGCATCAGTTTACCTATCGCAATTGAAAAATAAGCGAACCACATGCCGGTGAATTTTTCCATTATTGCCGAATCATCCAAAAAAACATCCCACTTGCCTCAGACTTTGGAAAGTGATTATATTTTTTCAGAGAATTTTAGAAAGTGGAAGTAGCAAGTCACTAAATGAGTTTCGCATTCCATTTTTTCCAAAATAATTCACCGATTCACTTTCGAGACACTTTTCATCGGTTTTCGATGCTGAATGGGCGTAGAATTGATCCACTGAATAATCTAGTCCATGGTCGATATTGACTATATACACGACATTCTCTCGAATTAGCGCAACTCTCCAGCTGAATTTTCCCCTTTTGGTAATTTCTTGCTCAACGATTTTCTTTTCCACCGTTATTTTGACAGAAAGGATTGGTGCTTGGTGTCTACGAGGGGGAGAAAAGCGACGTTGTTCTCACACCGTCGGCCGCCAAGTACAACGAGCTCGTTAATGGAAAACTACTGGCCAATATTTCCCTGTAAGTCTAATGAATCAAGTCAATCAAGTCAATTCCACTTCACCAATCAGTCGTCGAGTTATTTTTCGCAATGTTTTGATTATTTCCCCATTGTCTGCGCTATATTTTCATACAGCTATCATTCCTCTCTCCTCTCCCTGCCCCTCCCCCCCACCACCATTGCCATCACACCGTGATGAATGTCCTCCCCTGTTATGTAGGTAATTCTAAAAGTTTCTAAAGTATTTCCTCATTCAGAATTTTTGTTTTGAATTTACGGAATTTACTCTTCACTGGGTCATTCTATTTAGGAAGGTGAGGTACACTCGCACCCTGTTGGCGCCCGATTTATTTCATTTCATTTGGAGATAATCCACGGAGATTAGGGGATTGTCGTGAGATAGCTCGTTAAAAGTGCGGTTAGATAACAGAATCATGCGATTTTTTTTTCACATTTTTTCCCCTGAATAATATCTTTGATCGAGAATTCGTTTACGAAGAATTTTGATGAAAATTAGTGGAGATTGGCACTCAAAATTTTGAATCCAGCAATTATTATTATTATTATTATTATTATTATTATTATTATTTATTGATGACGAATCCAAAGAATCCTCGACACAATATTCTACTCTCTTTCTATTCGTTCATCAAAAAGTAAAAAAGGAGTAATCCTAAAGTCATTAATCACAGCCTTCACAAAATCCTCAACTTAACATCAAGAACACGATAAATATATATTTCTTTGTCAGTGCTGTGAGACCGTTATATTTCAATTTGATAACAGAAACGTGTGCTGACAAAGAACCAGCCAGAAATAGCCAAGCGATTAATCTGCAACACACAACGACAACAACATCATAAATTGCTTCGTGATATTCACGAAGCCTTGTATCATCAAAAAATATAAAACCTGAAACAATTGTTATAATGCTGCCTGAGCTTCACCCTACGTAATGAGTCAAAATTCAATGTCAACATATCTTTGTTGCAATTTTACTGTTAAATTTCACATTCAGTCTCCACAATAACTCTTACATATCTTTTCGTTTTTTTTCACATTACGGTTTTTCCTACCGTGTAGAGAGCTCACTGGCATTATTTTGATTGTTTCAGGAGGGGCTAGACCTGCGAGAGGACTATTTGAACCCGCGAAGTAGTAAAAACCCCGAAAAAACACGTGAACCATTCAGAAAAAAAAATTATTATCAAGACCCTGATAGTCCAATCTCTAATCGGCTATTGAAAAACGAAACAAATGAGAAGAAATACTTTCATAGCTCTAAAAAAAACTGTCTCTGATAATTGAGAGATAAAAAATTCCGAAGCGACATTGAACTAGCCAAAAATCTCGGAAAGTCCCAGCAGAGATGACAACCACTCCGGGGAATAGTGCAGCAGCTGACGGCTCTGAGAATCCAAGGAACAAACGTCGCGTACCGAGCGCGAATGTACTTCATGGCATTGGCGGATCAATTGAGGACAAGAATAGCGATTACTTGTGTCCAATTTGCTTTGAAGTAATCGATGAGGCTCATATAACACGCTGTGGTCACACCTTCTGCTACAAATGCATCACTAAAACATTAGAAAGCCTGGGGAGATGTCCAAAATGCAACTTCACCCTGGGTCAGCAGGATATTTTCCCAAATTTTCTGCTGAACGAGCTTGTCTCGAAGTACAAAACAAGGATAAAAGGCATTGGTGAGTTTGGCTGCGCTCATGGCGATGGTAGAAGAAGAGAAAGTGGTTCGGAGTCGTCGGTGCCTCCGTGCGATGGCCTGCGAGACTTCGTAGCAGCTGAGAGTGCCAATCTAACACTTCCTGATGTCAATGTTATGCTCGAAGTGCTGACGCAGAGGAAACTACTGCTGGAGGCAGAGTCGTGTGCAGCTCAGAACAAACTCCTTCACGAATTTCTGAAGCATCTGCTGCAGCAAAAGGAGGAGCAGCGTAATCAACTGCAGAAGGAAGTGGCACTGATAAAACGAGACATGGAGGAAGTCGAGTCCATTCTCAAAGACGTCCAGAGCAAGTGTCCACGTATTGAGGATTTGCAGCGCACGAGGGAGAACGAGACTGCACAAATGTCCGCTATTCGCAAAGAAATGATAGATCTGATAGATATCATTGACTCCAATATGGTTAAACACGACGAGAATTTACAAAAGCCTGAACACACAACTGTGTCGACATTGGCTGTGAGACGCAAGCGAATGCACGCACATTTTGAGGACTTTGTCCAGTGCTATTTCGATGCCAGAGCCAAAGATCTACTGCTTGGAGTGCCAAAGAATCCAGTCAACATTGACACAGTGCATGGCATGTCGTCGGGCTTGGATGTCTTCAGGGATAATTTAGTTAAATTCTCTCGTTACAACTCCCTCCGACCTCTGGCCACTCTCAACTATTCATCCGATATTTTCAACAACTCAACTATCGTTTCTAGCATCGAGTTCGACAAGGACAACGAATTTTTTGCTATTGCAGGCGTCACGAAGCGCATCAAGGTGTTTGATTATGGGGCAGTTATAAGGGATACAGTTGATATTCATTATCCATGCATCGAGATGGTTTCGAGCTCAAAGATATCGTGTGTGTCGTGGAATTCGTATCATAAGGGAATGCTGGCTTCTTCGGACTATGAGGGAACGGTGACCGTTTGGGACGCAGCCACGGGACAGAGGACAAAGGCCTTTCAGGAGCACGAGAAGAGATGCTGGTCCGTTGATTTTAATGACGTTGACACGAGGCTGATAGCCTCCGGCTCGGACGACGCTAGAGTTAAACTGTGGTCCCTCAATATTGATCATTCAGTGGCCTCTTTAGAGGCCAAAGCCAATGTTTGTTGTGTCAAATTTAACCCCAGAAGCTCTTGTCATCTGGCTTTTGGCTCGGCTGATCACTGTGTGCATTATTATGATTTGAGAAATATGAAGGAGGCACTGTGCATCTTCAAGGGCCATCGCAAAGCCGTTTCGTACGTTAAATTTATCAATAAGGAGGAAATTGTATCAGCCAGTACTGACTCACAGCTCAAAGTTTGGAATATTAATAATCCACATTGTTTGAGGTCATTTGTGGGACATGTTAATGAGAAAAATTTCGTTGGACTCGCTACTGATGGAGACTACGTTGCCTGTGGCTCCGAGAACAACGCGCTTTATGTTTACTATAAAGGACTTACCAAGCAACTATTCTCGTATAAGTTCGATGCAGTCAGGACTGTTTTGGAGCTGCATGAGAGGAGGGAGGAGGATCCTAATGAATTTGTGTCTGCTGTCTGCTGGAGGCAAATGTCCAATGTTGTAGTGGCTGCTAATTCGCAGGGAATTATCAAGATTTTAGAGCTCGTTTGAAATTCAATCGAGTTAACAATTTAGTTTTCAAGTGGTGAAAGCCCCTTTCTGTGGCTGTTACCGAACTCAAAATTCATTATTGATTTTCGCCAAATCCGGGGGAAACAACGATGAGGTCAATGTAATCAGACAACGATAGGTGTCAATGAATTTCAAATATTTCAGAAATTGAAATTCTTTTTCTCTGCGCTTGTCATGACATTTGTCTGAGATTAGATAATACATCTGCAAGGTTATGATAATTGAGGGGACTATTAATGCAGATATTGTAATGAATGTAAAATAGTAGGCTTAGTTAATATTAAGACGATAACTTAATTATTTAGGATTAAATCGTTATTGAGGTAAGACAAATTCGTGCCAATCTTCGGAGAAATTATTCGTTTGGGGTTTTCGCTTTTGTATTGCCAGTGTTTCTCATTATTTTTAATTGAGTTGTATTCTTCAATCAGGTGATTTTCTTTCAATTTTTTTCCTTTTTTTCTCTCTATCTCTTGCTCTCCCTCTATTATTGTAAAGTTAAACTCCGAGGGGTGGGGCCTAGTGTTGTGACAGTTATGAATAAAATATAAAACACATATATATATATATATATATATATATATATATATTTAACGAACACTTGAGTGAGAATTCGTAGTGAAAATGCAATGTCAAGTTGAGGAGAAAGGAAAAAAATGTGGGAATAAAGTCAGGTGAAGGAAATTTCAATCGAAGAAAGAGTATATTTTTAGATTGTATTTTGAAAAATGATTGTGCGGGAAATTCGCAATTGCAACCAATGTCCGATGATTAGATCTAATGTAATTAATAAAAATCATTCATGAATTGGTGTCTAACCGTCTTTGTCGATAATTTTCTGGATAATTATCTCTCACTCATTTTTTCACTCATTCCCATATCGTCCAATTTAACACTCAATAGAATTTTTGACTGAATTTATTTTAGAAAATTTTATAAAAAATTTACAGCGCGGGCCCGACAATAAAAAAATCAAAAACTCGAGTATTTTGGGGTCTCGAGGATGATGTCCATAGTTGCGTTGCGGTCGTTGGTCTCGGTAAGCAGAACCTTGGCTACAACTCCCTGGAGGAGATCGACGAGGGAAAGGAAAACATTCGCGTTGCTGTCGCAGGTAGTATTCCCACGCTAAATGAGCCTTTCACTAATAAATAATCAATGCTAATGATATTTTTTATTCACCAACATTATTATCCCCCAGCTGGATGCAGTGCCCTTGATGCTGTAGATGTCAAAGATATTGAGGTCGAGCCCATGGGAAATGCGGAGGCGGCAGCTGAAGGAGCAATTTTATCCACTTGGGTATTCCAAGAGTTCAAAAATAAAGCCAAGAAGAAGAAGCTACCGACTGTCTCTCTGTATGGAACTGAAGAACAGTGAGTATTGTTCGTCAATTATTATCATTACCATTCATTCATTTACTTACTTACTTATTTGTTATTGAAGCTATTACATTGTATTTTACGAGGAATGAGAAAAAGACTGAGTAATTTTATTTCACGTTTCCTTCTCTCTCAACAGAGATTCATGGAATCTTGGCAAGATCAAAGCAGACGCTCAAAATTGGGTGCGTCTTTTGGAGGACACTCCAGCTAACCTGATGACCCCCACAATCTTCAGTGAGACAGTGTCCCAAGCGCTGACCCCTCAAGGAATCGAAGTAATAGTCCACGACGAGTTATGGGCGACGAAGAAAAAAATGGGTTCTTTCCTCAGCGTGTCCCGAGGCAGCGCTGAGCCGCCAAAATTCGTGGAAATTCATTACAAGGGAGCAGAGCCCACCAAGGCCCCAATAGCATTTGTGGGCAAGGGAGTGACGTTTGACGCCGGTGGTATAAGTCTGAAGAGTGCAGGTTCAATGGACGAGATGCGATCAGACATGGCTGGAGCAGCCTGTGTCGTTGGCCTTATCAAAGCAGCTTCTGAGCTGAAAATCAAGGTGAACCTCGTAGGACTAATTCCCTTGACGGAGAATTTGCCATCAGGCACAGCGACAAAACCCGGCGATATTGTGACAGCAATGAATGGCAAAACAATTATCGTTGATAATACTGATGGAGAGGGACGTTTGATACTAGCTGATGCCTTAACTTACGCTAGTGAATTCAATCCCGAATTCATTGTAGACATTGCCACTCTCACTGGAGCTATCAGAATGGCCTTGGGTAATGCAGCCACTGGAGTATTCTCCAGCAGCAATGAATTGTGGGAGGTACTGAGGCAATCTGGGGCCAACACTGGTGATCGCATGTGGAGGATGCCCCTGTGGCAGCACTATAACAATCAGATGACCAAGCCCTACAAAGCTGCTGATCTTAACAACTGTGCAAGGGCAAAGGGTGGCGGCTCGTGCACAGCTGCTGGATTTCTTCGTGAATTCGCCAGTACTGAAGTGCCCTGGCTGCACTTGGATATGGCCGGCGTCATGGGCCCCACTAACGATGAGATTAGTTATTTGGCTTCTGGCATGTCTGGACGACCTGTCAGGACGCTCATTCAATTCGTCCAGGACATTGCCGAGGGAAAAGCTACGTGCAAACGTTAAGTGTTGATAATAATATGAATAATTAATAAAGTTGATCATGTCGGAAAGTGGATACACAAGCCATTGATGGGAGCTTAACGGCTTCCTCATCGTACCAATATTTTCTATGTCGAATTAAGGTTTATGTTTGGTTACATCATTTTTTCTTCCAATGACTCAAATGTTTTCTCATCCTGTATAGACGTAACAACAGATTTTTGATATTTTTCACTTCGGCAATTGTTTATAATGATGATCTTAGGTGGAATACAGGATGCAGGACAAATGAGCTCGGGGAATTTTCATCGGCCATTGTACTTTTCTTTATGATGATGATGATGATGATAATGATGATGATGTAATAAACGAAAAAAATATATGGGTATTTTATTAACATGTCCTTTTTGTATTTCAAATTGTGAATCACTCCGGCTTCAGTCTACTCATAATTAATTTAATTGAATCAGGTGAAAATTAACAAGGCATTTTGCCCACGAAACTGTGAGAATGATGAAGAAACAATGCATTCATAATGGTTATTTAATTTATTTGTCTTCAAATAAAATTAACGAACAATAAGGGAAAAACTATCATTCGAGGGTACACCTAAATTCACTCACACGTCCTCACACTCCGTCTCTCAATTTCACAATACTCAAATCACGCGTATTATTACTGGATAATTAAACTCTAGGTGGAATTAGTTTTAAATAAGTACAAATAACGGTTCAGCTCATCATTATGTACATTGAAAAGAAAAAAATTAAACTAAACTTCAAAATGATAAATTAAAGGGACTTGACAGTAAAAGAAGGAGATAGCTGAAGAAAATTAAATAGTTGATTCACCCTAATGGAAGTTACTGCATTTTCGCTTGTATAATTCTTCGACTTGAACCATATCATTCATCACTTTACCCACAGAATGATAAATTTTTCACAAAAAAATGAAAAATCATTAGGCCATCTCCTCATTTCAATTTTGTAAGGGTGAAAACATCAGTTGTGGCTATTTTCTAATTTAATTAAATTTAAAAAGAACCTAAAATCAAGTGAATAAAAATAAACAAGAAGGGAATCCAAACGAAGTGTGAAGGAAATTTATGAAATTAATAAACTTCATAATTTACGAAAACCACAGCCGATGTGACACCCACTCCATTGGAATGTTATAAAGAAAAATGATAATGGAAGGATTTCCATTTGTCGGAGGGAATAAAATAAAACTGCATCATTCAGGTGCACGAGGGAGGGGGCTGTTGCTGTTGAGAGGGAAGGGGCGATGATGCCACAGCAGCTACTGCAGCTGCTGCAGCGTAGCAAGACGGATCGGTGGGATCGAGGATGGGTGGTGGTGGTGGTAAGCCACCAGTACCACGGCCTCTTCCTCTTCCTCGTCCACGTCCTCGTCCTCGCCCCCTCCCCCTTCCGCGTCAACTCCGCCTCTCGGGCATCCCTATGTTGCTCGTTGTCTTCTCCAAGAATGCGAGTGGACCCTGCAGTGAACTGCTACCAACGCCTACTCCACCGACTGGAAAACCACCGCGTCCCGCCACACCACCCTGGCCCATGAACATCCCCTGCTGTACAACGTTCACTCCCTGAAGTCCTGGAGGTACTGAAGCTGCCCCGGTGCCCTGCTGGACCTGCAAAATCAAGGGAATTCCACACAAACGTTTAATCTTTCCTCATTAGATTTCATTTTTGTTGTTCTTGTTTTTTTATTTCTCCGGCATTTTCATGAAAATCTATTCTGCTTTTCATTTATTCAAATAAGGATGTTATCTTCAGAAAAATAATACGTCAAAATGGAATGCTGATGGTATCTGGTGGTATTTGAATTTTTCCGTAAATATTCTCCAGGCATGCATTGAATAATTCATGAATTAAGATGTATCAAAATATAGTTTCCAGAAGATAAAAAAAAGCCACAATAAATAAATGAATAAATCAATAAATAATAGAGTAGAGATACTTCATGAAGGAATGTGAGGAGAGGCGAGATTGGCAAGGTGAATGAAAGAAAGCCACAATGATTGACCATGAAACGAACATTTTCATCATTTTTATTCTACAGAACAATCTACTCTTCGATAACACAAGTGGAGAACAATGTGAAACCGTTTCTAGTTTTTATCGTCTACTGTAAATCTAATGATCTTTCACTTTCATTGTTTCTCATTATTTTTTTTTTATTTCAGTTTTTAATAATGAACATAGTCTTTTATCATTAGCACAAGTATCCCAAGGTTCCTCCATACTTTGAATATCTTCCTCTCTTGATGAGTTTCTTTACGTCGCATGCGGCACGTAATTTTCATGCAGAAAAAATGAATTACCATCACCGGTGTATAAAAAAGACCGATGAGCAAGAAATAAAACAAACATTGTGTACATATAACTGTTGCAGAAGTAAAACTAGATGCGGGTATCGGAGAACAAATTTTTGTCCCTCTTTTCATCAATTATTTTAAGGCGTATAAGAGTTTATGACTGAAAATGAGGAAAAAAAATTGAAAAAAAAGAAAACAAATCATATGACGAAAAATAGAAGAACTCTAGATGTTGATTATTTATGCATTCATTTTGGAAAGTGGGTTTTTGAGGAAAAAAATGTCGGGAGATCTATTCTGTATCTCAACCAAATTTTGTTTGAAAAATGCCTTTTCAAACTGTCCTCCAAAATCACTCATTATGGAGATAATAACATATTCAACATGATATGAAAAAAATCAATAACAAGAATTGGTGATTTATCGTGTCAATAATTAAATTGTAGTAATCCTTATATTTTTATAAATCTCTTATTGTCTTTATCAGATTATTAAACAGCACAATATCATAAATTTTTGGCTAGGCTTCGGGCTGAGCTGTTTTGTATAATCGTATAATTTGTTTTTCTATCATTTTGGCACCGTTTTCTCTTTTAAATAATCTCTCCTACTCTTTTCTCATCATGTACTCGAGACCTTTTACCTACATTGCAATAATTTCGTATACAAATTTTCTGTTAAAGTCTCATTCATTACAAATCAAAAGCTTCAGTGATTAGTTTCTAGTTTTATCCAATGACTTATTCACTGATTTATTTTTTCAACTAAAAAACAAAAAATTAGAAGATCAAGTGATATCTCTTGCATAAGGCACTGAATTACAAAAAAAATAGTAATAATAATAATAATAATGATAATAGTAGTAATAACAATAGTAATGATAATAAATAAATAAATAAATAATCATGTACTAGTTGGATCGCCTGATTAATCTGAAATAACCCAATGGAGAATCGACCATGTTGAACATTCACAAAATGTATGCAATTTTCACGTTGACTTTCAATACGATTGGAAGAGCAGCGGTCATTCCTTCTATCCATAAGTAAATTGGACGACTCTCAAGATCACAGTGAATCCGTTATAATCAATATTTTACAACCATGCTTGATTTCTCTACATGCATTCAATTGTAGTTGAGTAGAATAAATTAAGGAGGAAACGAATGAATTGAAAAAATTGCCCAGCCAGATACTCCAAACAAATTATCAATTTTAATAACATTAAATTTTACAGTGATCAATGAAAAATCGAAAAACACCATTAATTTTTCCTCCATCATTCCCTCAAAAATTCATTCATTTGACTCACTTCAATCAGATGAAATATTTTCCTCCAATTTTGTTATCGAGATATCATCCTGACATGAAAATAATTCTGAATAATTCACGAATGCATTTCTCTTAACAATGAATACACATCAAACGAAAGAATAAATATTTAACAATTTTTAAAATTTCTGGTAATTGAAGAATAGAATCTCTTTATCACTATCTAGTTATAATTTCTCCCTCACATCCGAGCGCATTAAATTTTAGGTGGAGTTGGGAGTAATCTCGTGTACATTAACATTTGGCTCATTAACGTCGTTTTTACTTAAATACCTGTTGGTGCATTTGTTGCTGTTGCATTTGGCTGTGTTGCATCTGCAGCTGTTGCTGCTGTAGTTGATGCTGATGTTGAAGCATTTGGGGTGCTTGGGGAGGTTGAGGGGGCATTTGTGCGCCTCCTGTGCCATTCGCTCCCGGCTGGCCCTGAGATGCTTGATTACCATTTGCTAAGCCTGAAAAATTAAACAAATGGATACCGATTAATGAGACAAACATTGAAAAAACTGATTTATTCAATAATAAAAATGTATTTTTAATTTATTCACCACTTGGGGCTGGTCCTTGGGCCGGAGACTTTGCCCATCCCTGGAGATCTGCTAGGAGATGTTGCCAGAGTGCAATTTTCTCGTAATGCCTCTTTATGAGATCATCTTTTCTCGTCAACTCCAACTTGAGATCCAAGATATCTTCTTTGACTACTAATTCTGGCTTCAATGCAGACAGGAGGAATCTTTTTTGTAAGAAAAACGCCTCCATCTGCCTTGCCAAGTCTATGAATCTCAGGGTAACCTGCTCCACCTCCATCCGGGCCTCGTCCTTGTCAACTGCCAGGCTGCTGCCAATACTGTTGTTGCTCAGGCCCTCGTCTTTGGTTAGAACATTCAGACATTGCTGTAAATAAAATTTTCACATTAATTTTACGTTTTCATATCGAATGGAATTAATCTGTTGATCTGACTCATCTTGAATTTGCTTCTTATGTTAATGATCATTGACTTTACCTGAAACGCTTCGTCAAACTCCTCCACTAGATTTCCACTTCCGTTAGTTGGTGTTGCCATTTCGCGGAATTACCGATAAAATATGTGAAAATAAAGAAAAAAACCAACTAAATTCTTTTTCTGGAGCATAAAGGCGTTGGAATGCTTGGCACAAACGAAAGAGAGGTTATGGAATGGTGAAACTGGAGTTTTAGAGGGAGAAAACACTGCAAAATCGAAAATTCACATATTGGAAATGAGGAAACTAATAATTAAAGTGGAGGAACTGATAAATCTATCTGACAACCGAAATAAAAAAGACTGTTTCAGCTATAGAACCTGATAGAACCCTCCCCCCTTTTTTATAGAATGATAACCACACGTAACATTATCCCACTCTCTGGTATGAATTTCCTGCGCATCTCCAATGCGCAGGAAATTTCATCCTCTTTTGCCTCATTTTGAGAATAGGAAATTCGTCAAACGAATTCATAATTAAATTTTAATAATAAATAAATTCGAATTCGTAATTAAATATTTATTTCTATTCACGAAGAAAATCTTACACATGATAGCTGAATTTCTTACAAACAAGTGCTCTTTTTATTATTGAAAAAAATTCTGTACACAATGAGGATAATACTTCTGAAAAGGCAGAAGCTGCTTATTTTAATTCAGTTGTGAATTGGTGAAACTTGATAGAAGGGATTTTTTGCTTTCTGAACAATTTGAGATATTTTTTTTGTTGGAAATGTCTCGAGTCACAATCGGAAGGTTTCGTGATAGTTTTGTCCTTAATTATTCTCGAGATCAAAGAGTCATTGATGAACATTTTGAGTTTGGCTCATCACGTTTCAACATTCCACTGGAAAATTTTTTAATGACGAAATTATGACTGGTGGACACATCCGTCTCACACGAGTTTCTTTGCCTCGAAGAAGCTCTTCAAGTGCCTCATCTGCCAGGTGCCCATGGCTAGAAGAATTACAGTTTGTGTCACTGACCACCATAATACTCGGCGATTTGTGCTCTCTGATGTCTGTCTGAAGCGCTCCTCTCGATACTGATGACATATAAAAAACAAAGAGATATATAAATTGATTCTTCTATTGAAAATGGTGGAGTCTAAAGAATTGAGAATTATTACCCTCTGGTAATTCTGCTCTTTAGTAATTTGCTCGACTTGATCCAACAGCTGACGAATTCTCAGCTGGAGTTTTGATAATTTCTCCTTCTGCGCCAGGTTTGCGTAGTCGATTGTGTGATCACCCACTTGGATATCCAAATGTACTCTCTGCGATGCCAAGAAAAATAAAAAGAACAGTTCATATTTTATCATTTGCAATAATTGAATTGAATGAACTAATTATTGACGACTAAAATGTAAAAAAACTTGAGAAATTTTTCTTTTGAAGATTAGTAAATTTTGCCACAAAAATCTTGAGAAATGTTTGAAAGTCTCACCAATTGCGTTCCACTGAACCAGGCAGTGCTATTGGAGTACAGACAGATCACATGTTCCCCAGGGGTGTGCGAGGTGAATGAAATTTTTCCCTCCGAGCTATAAACTCTGGACAGAATAGTCTTGTCATCAGGATCTCGAACCTCAACATGCATGCCTATGCCTGGGCTGCTCGGCATAAATCCACCACTCCTGGGGTCGAAAAGCTCGACCTTGTAATTCACTGTCAAACAAAAAGAAATCCAAATCAACGTGCTTCGATAATTTTCAATAATTACGTTTAAAAAAATTACCTAAAACCGTGGTTTCATCTGGAATTTCCTCGATGAAACACTTTCGTTCAGTTTCACCGATGTGAAAATACAGTCCAGATGCACACTGTACTAGAACAAGTGCCAACAACCCAACGTACTCAATCATCATTCCTCGATAATCACTGACTCCTAAACTATTTATTTACTGTTATTATCTTCCACTTATTCCGGTTGGAAAAATTAAATTTACAAAAATGTGGACGAAAATAAGTAATTCAGCAGAGACTGAACCACCGGGGCACACGTCATCTACGGCAGTAGAGAATGGCCATTTGGCGTGAAGTCTGGTGAGAACGGAGAAATGTGGAACGTGGCTGTCGAGAGTCGAATCGATCGAGATACGTCGATTGGTCGAGAGCGAGCGAAGGACAGGACAACAACAAAACTACAAAACATGGATGTGGCTGTGCTCGTGTCTATTGCTGCAGGACTTGTGGCTCTAATTGTTCTGCTCACTTTACTGTCACGCAAAAAAACAGGTGCGTTCGCATTTTTTCTTGTTGTCACCCCAATTATTGTTGACACAACAATCATCTAGACTAATTTGAATTTATGAATTCGAGGAGGGAGAGATGAATTTGGGGGACATAACCTCTTATTCACCTTTTCCATCTGTTAACTCGAAAGCTGAAAATTCTTATTCAGCAAATAATTGTTTATTTGCTGAGGCATTTAAAGGACAAGTGAAATTAGTTCGCAATTTTAGCCAATTGTCGAACCAGTAATGATTAAAAATTTATGAATAATTGTTTCAGATAAGAATGAAGCAGCTGGAGGACCTCCAGCCCGAGCTCAGCCGTTGCGTCGAGCTGCTGGTGTTCGAAATGCCAGACGTCGAATGCAGGATAGACAGCATCGAGAGCCACCGGACGAGGCGAACGATGCATCGGACGAGGATGAAAACGTAGAGCCAACAGATAAGCCAGAAATGCCAGAAGGGAAATTGGGTGCCAAGAAAAGGGCGAAGCTTGAGGCCAAAGCTGAAAGGAAGCAGCAGCGAGAAGCTCTGGAGAGGGAACGCGAGGAGAGGAAAAAGAGAGAGCAGCAGGCTCAGGAGGAATCCGATAAGCGTCGAGAGAAGGAGAGGCTTGAGGAATTGGCACAAGAGGAGGCGGACAAAAAAGCGAGGGAGGAGAGAGAAAGAATTGAGCAAGAAGAGTATTTAAAAATGAAAGAGGCCTTCAGCGTTGAGGAGGAGGGGTACGACGTTGTTAATGAGGAGGAGCAGAAGAATCTTCTTCAGGAGTTTCTCGACTACATTAAGGCCACTAAAGTGGTCGTTTTGGAGGACCTGGCCGGCCATTTCAACATGAAAACGCAGAGTGTAATTGAGAGAATTCAGGACCTCCAGGCGAATGGCCGGCTCACTGGGGTCATTGATGACAGGGGAAAGTTTATTTATATATCCCAGGAGGAACTGGAGAGTGTGGCCAAATTCGTCAAGCAGAGGGGAAGAGTCAGCATCGCTGAACTTGCCGAGAACTCCAACAGACTCATTAATCTCAATTCTGAACAGACCAAGGCTGTCGAAACCAGCTGATTATTAGAGTTTAAATTCAATTGTACATACACTGTATTTCTAAGTTAAACATAAAAAATTTTTATTTAGAATTTTTTTTAATATCAAAGTTACAAATTGTCAAAATTCATTCAAAATTTCCCATCTGAATGTCACGTGGAACTCATTTTTCCTGCTTGATTCGAAAGAAAAAAATGTTTATAATGAATAAATCCTGACCCAATAATCCTGTCTAATCTTATTCCAATTTTTAAGATGAATGAAATTGATTTAAAATAATATGAGGATTTAAATGAGGAATCCTCTTTTGGTGAGTATAAACGGTGGAAAATTTATATTTTTGTAATAATATTATTATTACCAATAATGTCGAATGGTTGCCACGCTGTTATTGCTGCTGCTCCGTCGATTTAATTGTGTCGTGTTCTTGAGACTCATTATAAATGTTCTTATTATTTTATGACGACAACGTACCAGAACTGCCGAAAGCCTGAGGGCGCTTGAATTACAAGTGAAACGTCGCAATTCGACGGTGAATTAGTATGGTTTACTGATTTTCCAACTGTCCCACGATCCACATCCTGAATTAATATGTTAATTAATAAGTTAAGCAACAACGGATCATTTATGCTCAGCAATTCAGTCAATCTGTTGTTTATCCATTTGCGAATTTTTTATCGAATTCTCGTTCTATTACCCTCCCCCACTACGGAAATTCTTTGTTTCAATGGGCACTTCGTAGACGTCATACAAAGAGGTCAATTTCGCATGCAGTTATAACAACGTAAATATATTTTTATTGTTCAGCCCGAAGAAATTTTTTTTCTTTTTTCAAGTCAAACTCGTTTGCTCAGAAGTTGAAATTCTGGGTGTGATTTTTTTTTTTCACACAACGGGATGAAATATTCCGAAGTTGGGTTGAAAATCCTGACGACACTTCGATCGATGTTGCGTCAGATTCTAGTTTACCTTAAAGTGCAAATTGCAAACGTTTTTCCATTTCCCCCGACTGGATAATTTAGTCATCCTTATGTTTATTATTTATCTCATGATATTGTGCGCTTCATAAATATACGGGACATAAATTTCTAATGAATAACTGCAACAAAGTCATGCAAAGTCGGGCAAGTTGAATGGAATTTCAACATTTTAACTTCATTTATGCTTTTATTTCGTTGAGAGTATTGAGAATTGTATTTCCGTTATTTTTATTTTCTAAGGGAAAAGAGAATTCCAATGGCGATGTTATAAAACCTAATTTCAGGGTAAATTTAGAGGTACCTATCAAGAGACTTTGCGAGTAGATGAGAAAACTTTAGAAAAAAAATTCTCTCTGGAAATGCCGTCGAAATATGCAAGGATTATCGGGATAATTTAACAATCAGTGAGTTTCCACTCCGCGTGATTAATTTCACTCCCGCTTCTATTTTCGGCAAACAGATTAGCATAATTCAGGTCTATCCGAAAGCTCTGACGCCAGCATTCCAAATTTTACGCTGAAATTCCTACGTATTCACCTGCCTTTTACGTAAAGAATCATCATTGAGTCACGTGTTGCGTCAAAATAGAGCTGAAATATCGATGAAAAATTGATAAAAACTCATTTGAAGACAGAGAGAAAAAACAGAAAATAAATCATTAAAAAAAAGTGAATCTCAGAAGTTTCGGATAGAACACACGTTGACTGCATGCTCTTAAGGTCGTGAAGTACGGCTGAAAAGAAGGGGAGAACGTTTATTAAGGCAGGAGAACACGGCCAACAGGTCGCAGTCGTAAACCGCGACGCGCATCGTCCATTCGGATTGTCCCACAAATTTTTATCAAAATTCAAAAGTTATTTCAAAATCATTGATTAAATTTTTATTGATTTTTCTCCAAGTCAAAGTCGATATTTTTGTAACTTCAAGTGATTGTGCATACCTTATGTGTCCATGAGGTGCAAAGTCTTAGATTGTCAAGGCAATTCCCCGACATTTCTACCCAGTGTGAGGTGAGCTAATAAACTGGTCCTTCAGTTTTTATTTTTCTGTGAATTCTTCAGTTATAGATTAAATCCTAAATCAACGCGCAGCGTTCTCAGATTAATTATGACTGAACAATTGAATTAATAAATGAGTCGAAAAACTACACGTAATTAATTAAATATGAATTAATAAATTTTGGTATTTAAATTTTCTAGACTCGCTAAGAATCTAAGAACGCGTAAAGGAAGTCGTCGTGGTAACGCTGGAAATCGCTTAGAACTCACGGTCCTCGTCCACTTGCACCACGTGCCGTAGAGTGAGCAAAAAATTTTTCAGCACTTACAAAATTTCATACAGAAATGGCCCTTCGAGATCATTTCATCACATCAGTTTCACAAATCAATTTTTATTCTCCAAGTTTCAGGTTTACAATTATTTGGAAGCAACTACGACGCCGTACTTTGTAGTTAACAAATTGTATTAACAGCTGATAGTATTGTAAATAAAATCAGTCGAGCCACTGTCGATCACGTTGCTTAGCTAGAGGATCAATTGAAAAGGGAACTCTTTAATCCACTTCCGAACGCGAGAGAGTCGTCAAATAGCCGTCAAAATGGTTCACACAAACGTCAACGGTTCCCTCAAGGGTCCTTACCAGGAAGTCAAGTAATTTCTTTAAAAACTCTGCCCAATGATGAATCAGTCCAACGATTGAATAAATAAAATTCTAATCATTTGATTCTCGTTACAGGAAAGACAAGCTCACAGTGAATAATCAGAAATCTTCCAGTCAAGTGAAAACAACTAGCAAGGACGACAAGTACGGTGCCTGGGGACCGGTCTACAAGTCTAAGCAGAATTTCATCGATATGCACTTCTCTTGAAAATCAATAATCCAATCGATCGGTGCTAATAATCACGACTACGCTATGCCCAGAATGATACAGTAACTGAGTGATAAAACGTGAATCATAAAAATTCAATTTTCCAAATTGTCTCAAGAATGAGTGATTCAAGTGAAAATCTCAAGTGAATTTTTAAAGAAAAGAATATTCCATTCTACGAAGAAAGGTCTCTTGATATTTTTACCAAATCGCCTATTCCCAGTCGAATAATCAACCGAATTACAGTTAATGACGCAATTTTGCAATTGTGATGAGTATTTTTACGAAAAAAAAACATTTTTCTTTCAAATCACTGGCAAAATAATTGTTACCGAGATGATTCCCACTAACGTTTTATCACTTTACTGGACAATTCAACAATGTTTAATTCATATGGAAAAAAACGCCAGTTAATTAACACGATTTTACTCAAAAATTCAATTCCTTTGCACTAATAATGACTGAGCAGCTCGCGACTCATTATTTCTTGCAACACTTCATCATTTTTGGTATGTACTTTGGAAGTGTACAAAATTGCGGTTGTAGAAGAGAAAAGTCCTAGTCAAATACAAGTTTCCGCCGAGAAAATCAGCATAAAAAAATTCTCGTTCATCAGAAAAGACGGCTTTTACCTTAAATTATTGTAAAAATGTTTTTCCCCACTCAATTGGATCCAATTATTTTCATTATACGTTTATTGTTCATTTAATCAATTAAATGCAACATCACTAGGCAGTTGAATAGAATTATTCTCTTTTATTAATAACGATGATGGATAAACCTTCAGTTTGAATTCGTCAAATTGTGCAAGGAAAAATGGGCTCATCAACGTGAGGACAGTGGCTCGACGATTCTAATCATTATTTTTTATATTATGATGTAATTCCTTGAATTTTTATATTACTTCTCTCGCTCTAATTCACATTTAATGGATATCGTCGGGCCCTTATGATTATTAAAAATATTATGCTCTCATATGCGCTTTCTTGGGATAGTGTCCAACATTTCAATCGACATTTTGATTGTTTTTTTCTTCGCTAATAACTTTTGCGCTTTTTTTGTTGAGATGAAGGGAGAAATAAAGGTGATGGTTTTTGTGGACTAATACACACGCGATCGAAGATTCTTGAAGTATTTTTTTAATGGTGAGCCACTGAAGAAGAGAAACAATACGTAATTATTAATTGGAAGAAATTGAAAATTTTAATGGAGTAATAGTGAAGTCCCCTGCAATTATCACTCATTATCTAAACGATGAACCATTGAAATTATGAGAGATATCGGAGGAAAAAATTGAGCTACTTTTTTTTGCAAAATTTGTCAGCTTGAAAATCTTTTTAATCACTTACGTATGCCCCTTGCTGTTACCAAGGCGTGGGGATAGAAGGTGTGGGACGAAAAAATATGGAATACTGAATATGTAATTATAGCTGGATGATACAGTTTTTAAATGGCATTGACCCCAGCGCATTAGCTATAATAATTTTTGAATTATTAAATTTTGAAGGGTCGGGGGTTAATCGTCATTTAAACGCGTCTTTTCCACATGCAAAGACAAAATAAAGAAGAGGGATGACTCGGCAGATAGAAACATTGATGGAAATGTAAAAAACGTGATATTCTTATGAGAAAATGAACGTGTCCGAATGGAATGGAATGAGATTAATAGAGATTTGGCCACAAATGGTGAGCAATACTGAACTTTAGGGGGAGAGAGACAAAAAAAACAAGGAATGTTATGTTCCGGCCGGATGCGGCTGGGATGAGACACGTAGCGTCAGCCGGTGAAGTGAGGTCGACGTACTGGGATTAGGTGTGATGGCCCGAATAAGTCACGAGAGTTTCTCAAATCACTGACGATCATTAGTGATGGATGAATTCGGCGTTGTTAATTGTTCCCCACTTTCAACTTCAATTGGGCGATGAGGTTTCGAGGAGCTTTTTTCATTATCTTAGGCGTCTTCCGTTTCAGCGGCTGTGGGGGAAGTGCCCTCGGAAGAAGTTGTGTAGAAAAATATTTTTTCGTGAAGAAATTAATCATTTCCTAGTCGAGTGATCGAGGTAATTGTATAGACATGCACTGAATGAAGACGAGAGTTTTCCGCCATTTGAAAACTTGTTCGTAAGATCTGTCTCCTATTTAATGGTAAAAAATAGGAAGAGAGATTCTTCCGTCGTCGGAAACTATTCATTAACTACTGCATGCAACATTGAAAAAGTTATGATTAATGACTCTGGGAGTATCGGCCCTCTTTGTTCAACAAAACGCTGGGTTCTGCCTCCAAAAATGAAGAAATAGACTTTCTCGATGAAATTTTGTGGCGCGTGTCACCACAATACATGGGAGGAATATTGGAGATGTAATGTAGAAGTGATGGATGCGACACTAATGGCCCGAACACTTTTCGAGTTGGAGTTTGAGAGAGTCATCAAGAGAGGGTTTAATCCTTCACAATGTGAATATCATTTACATGTTTTACAATACACAGAATGCATTGGGATCGGGGAAAAATTTCGCTGACATAGTCAAAATTTTATTTCATTTTATTTCACGAAGATTTTATTTCATTGTTTTTTTTTCAGCGTAATTAGAGAGTATATTGTTCTGATTTTTCGATTATTCCTTGCAGATGAATAATTTTCTAGAAATGATTTCCTATTCACCAAAACGCGTCTCATTTGGTTTAAAATTGTGTACATCGAGGATTCTTCAATTGTGAGGGCACGGTTGAAATAATCAGGATGAAAAACGAGGGAGGGGGGCGAGATGCAGACGTCGTTCCTTCGTGAAAAAGGCGGAGCAAAAAAAAGCCCTCGGAAATGAGTGTGAGAGGGAGCTTTCAACATATACTTCGCGCGTGTCCTCGTGATGATGACGCTGCAAGCCCCGTATGCAGTCACTTTTCGGTCGCTGGAGGTGCGGGTTCCTCCGTCAAGCCAAAACCGAGTGAACCCAGTGCCTCGTCTAGTCCCGAACCAAACAGAAATTCCCAAAATTATTTAGTCTATTTATTGCAACAGAAACATCCCTTAATTTATTTAGACATTTCTAATTTTATAATTTATCCATTATTTATTTATTACTATTTATTACTTTTTTATCGTGTGAGTTGTCTAAAAAAAGTCCAGTGAATAAAAACCAGTCAGCGACAATTGTTCGGATAATATTCCACTGATTTGTGTTTGATAATGAGTACGAGTGATGTGTGAGAAGTGGCAAGAGAGATAATTCGTAGAAGTGAAGGAGGACGAAACGACGCGAGACGGGGTGAAAAGGCTGAATTTGTCGCATGGTATGCAAGAACACTAGAGAACCCGACACCACAAGTCTGCTATTTCGAGGTCGTAACGACGGTAAGTCCAGTTTTTTCTTCTTCCTATGGCTTTGTCATTATGTTCTTACACTTTGGATTTGAATGATCCCCTTTACACTGTGGCACACTGTAAAAAATAGTGGGACCAATAGAGCTGAGAATTCGCCGAATTGCAATGCATTTTACCAAAGCAAAAACAAAAAATAATTCTAGTAGAGATGTGCTGGCAAAACTAATTGCTCATTCACCTCGATTTCAGTCATTCATTTTCATTATTTTTCAACCTCAAGAAGGCTTTTTCCGGGAATAGGCATTAAACTTGCGATTGAAGTGGCACCCAAGGACGCAAGAATTGCTTACTCGACTTTGAAGCACTGCAACACTGAATTTGCTAATGAGATTTCTTCTGTACTCAGCTTTCTCCCTCGCTTTTAAAAAAAGACTGGCTTATATTCCCCCCTGAAACTGAAATGAATTTCAGCGTCTTTTTATAAGTCAGGAGAAATGGGCGTGAGGAGGGGGGAGGGAGGGAAGGAAGCTGGGGAGACGTGGAGTGTAGTGTAGTGTTTCTTGGTTTTGTCTTCGCTGGGGGTCCTCAGCCACTGCATTTCTATTTTTGGGGGGTACTGGCGAAAATTCGAGGCAAGACAGTCTGTGGTTCAAGGATTCGAAGAAAACACTGCAAGCAGATCGATCAGTCGCCCATAATTCACGAATCCAATCAATTCGAGTGGCAAACCAGTTAATTTTAAATGAATTCAGATGAAAATGTTCAATTCATCATACTTTACGATGTTATTTTTTTAATTTTAGTTGACCAAAATGTAATAGAGAAGTGGAGGGTCCTCAAGGTCTCCCAACGTGTCATTGGCCATCGGTCCATGGCCCATAGCTCAATGACACACCGTGCAATAAACTCAGTGGAACATTCGCATGGCTCGGCTGGCACGAATTTTATACCGGAAATAGAGCTTCCTCGATCGAGCCCCAACTCCCATCTCCCCACCACCCAAGAACCTATCTTAACATCTCGTAGGCGCGCCTGAACGCGACCCTTCTTTTTCATTCCAGTCTAAAATTCGATCCTCTACTCTTCCCCCAAAAAACCATCATATCCATAGCAAACGACGGAGATAGAGACGAAAAAAAGCAAAGGTACACATGCATAACCCTCGTGGATCTATTCCTGTCCCACCGACAGTCACTCATCACTTGCTCGCACCCTCTGCAAACGGCATTCTTCTTTTTGAAATTAATTAATAATAATAAATCGCATTGCTAACGAACAATGCCTTAATTTTCCCGCTTTTTTCATTTCCCAAAAATGCGCCCGAGTTAATTTCCCCCGGATCGGCTTTAGGAGGTGTTGAAAAAATTTGAAAAGCTCGATGAGATGAAAAATTCGAGTTTAATGAACTTGAGAGACCCCTGCATCTCCTCGCATTACTCTACCCCCGTCGGGGCACCCAAATTGGGGGAGCATGTTGTTGTCTCCCCCCTCTCATTGCACGTGCCCCGCACGGATTTGATGTATGGCACGCGCGCGCAAGCCCATGCACGCAGGGATGACAGAGTGAGGCGCGCTAGCATACGAATCCCAGCAGCTGGACCTTGTGTTAACGAAATAAAAAAAAGGAGGGACTCCTGAAGAGAGGAGGTTAAAGGCCCCGGGGAGTGACTGTCTCCGTCGCTTATCGATCATAATTTGGCATTTGTTCGAAGCTTCTTCGCCCCTCTCAATTGCCAATACAAACCCCAGCAAAAAACGCATTCTAATGCAGATAGTAAGCAAAAAATTAAAAAGCCCATCCAACGACGCAAAATTGTACGCGAAATTTTCTGATATCCTCCGGATGTTTAAATGTCCGCGATGCTGTCCCACGTCCATGTATAAAAAACATTTTCTCACTGTCAATTGTCCCATTGTCAGCGGCAACCGGCTGAACTTGAGCGCGTGAAAAATGAAAAAGGGAAAAAAATCGAAAGTGACATTACATTGGTAGCAACCAGCTGTGGCACTTCCGTCATACATTTGATTATTTTTTTCCTCACACTTCCTCCCCCACTCGCTTGCACTGACACATTGTTACCATCCACTTCCGTTTTTAGCTATGTACGTAGTGCTAGGGCCTGTCTTTTCTCATTTAGATTTTCGTCGTCATTGGAGGGGAATCCTAAAAATTCGACATGTGAAGAAGAATTCTAAAACCGGTGGAACGCAAGTGGATTGGCGTGCGAGGAGGAATGGGTGAACAGGAATAGAGGAGATAAATGTTTGATTGGATTTTTAACATTTCGTTTTTATAATTGTCCCCTTAATTTTATTGTATTCTATTGGAAAAAAACAATGTTTAGCGCAACAATAGATTGTTCTTTGCGCTATTGCGGTCGTCTTTTTTCAACTTCACTTTAATGAGCGATGATGCGTACGGAGAAAAATAAAGTGGCCCACGGATGGGGGGGAACGTCGTCTGCGACAGGAATAGAAAGGCATTCTTTTCCGGCTGCTGACGGCGATTATCTTCGCTTCTCCCCGTCGACGAGTTTTCGATCTACGGATAGATTTGATTCCAGCAGACTCGGATGGAAAAAAAACATTTTTCTAGTCTTCGGCGGAATTCCGTAGACGGCTACCTCCTCGCCGGCGCTTCAGAGAATAACGATGTCTACTTGCACATCGTCCAGACGTCTCGGTGCTTGAAATAGATTATTCGCACACTATTTTCACGGTGCATATGAACCAAGAGAGGCGGGTCGCCGGAGATACCACTGAGGGTTCGCCGACTCGATCGATATATCGAGTGCCAAGTT